ACAGGGACTTGTAATGTCCAAACGTTCTGAGCCCAGAGGCTGAATACTCAAAAGTAAGTTTTCTTAATCTGGCGGTTAGGAAAAGGGGGGGGGCATCTTATAAATGGAAAAATACGGCAGTTATCATTTGATCCTGTCATTACTTTGTCATGTTTGTTCTCCTCACCTCACCTGGTACAGGTGTTTTCAAGGGATGTTACCATTGTCATGTTCTTTGGGGATCCTTGAGAATGGCGAACTATTGATTATCTCCATTCACCACCTCAGCCAACTGCTAAAAGATGATCATGGATTAAATCAGAATTTTAGCACATCCCAACAGTTGACAAAACTTAAGATAAAAGTCTGCTTACAATGGCTTCACCATTTTTCAAAATGAAACTGTCCTTTTGTAATTTGATTCTGTGAATACAATTTATTTTATTCATTACATTTGTGTCCTGCCCATCTAGTGCCCAAACACTACTCTGGATGGCAAACAGCAATTAAAAACACAACTCATTTTGTTGTTCTTGGGTCCCTCTTTTGGGATGGGAGGATGATTGGAATGCATTATTCACTGACATGATTTCATGCAATACATAGCCATTGTTACAAAAGAGGGTGGGAAAGTGACTTCTTCTAGAAATACAAGGAGCAGCAACATTTTCAGATGACAAACAGGATTGCCCTTCTCTAGAATTTATTTTGCCTTTCTCTCCTCTTCCCCAACATGCCCAGGGATGCAAAGTATGTGTGCACACATGTGAATATATGTGTGCATAAATGCATGGACAAGTCAGATTAAATCCCAGGACTTTCCAGTAGACAAGAAGAGGGCTGTAGAAACATCACTTGAAGCTCCTTCTACTTCTAGGATTCAAAATCTTTCAACTTCCACTGTGACAGGATCACTCCTCTGTTGTATCAAGACATCTGACTGCAACTTCCTTTTTCAAATATTATTCTATGGTCATATTTTCCCAAGACTTGTGCACCAGGCGATGATCTGTGTATTGAAGGAACAGGGCACTATTTGTGTCCCTACTGTTTTGGAGGTAGAAGAAGCTAAGGTAAGCCCCTCAAATGCATTTTTCAAAAAGCCAGCTAACCCTGCTTTCCCTCACTAGTACTGCTATAACCCTGCTGTCATGGCGTGATTGGGTTTATTCTAAGTGTTTTGTCTTCCACAGTACACAGTGTTGCTACTACTGTAGTTCCTTTAACAGTATCATATTTATGCAGAAGCTTAAGTAAGCTATAGATCAAGGCCCCAGAGTGTGAAGAGCCCTTAAATAAATAAACAAAACAAAAAGACTAATTAAATTGAAAGTTTCATGTAATAAGTATTTCTGAGAGCAGATTAGTGGTAAGGGACAGCCTAAACTGACCATAGGTTATTTTGTGTTTGTTACGTGCTTCCAAGTTGCGTCCAGTGTATGATGATGGTTTTTGAGTTGAGTAGTTTTCCTATTGTCGCTAGTAAGTTTCTCCATTTCCTCTTTGGGAGGAAAATTACAACCAGTTACATATTGATGATTAATATACATATTTTCCCATGAATGAACTGGAAAATATGCATTAAATCATTATAGCCAGCTACCTGCTATTTCCTTCACTTTCTACCTTTAACAGCACACCATGTTTTTCATCAGGAATGAACAGAGGTAGTAGAGAAACCTCAGCATGAGCAGTTTCTATCTCTTTTTAGATACACAGAACTTGCTGCCATTACTTGCTCCAGAGCAAAAGTCTGCTTACTTACAAGTTGCTTTTGTTGTTTTCCACCATCAAGTTGGAATCAACCCCAATTGGGTTTTTAAGATTGGTGAGATATTTAAGGAATGGCTTTGCCAGGACCACCCCCAGTCATTTTCCATGGTGAAGAGGGGATTCAAACTCAGGTCTTCTGAATCCTAGTCTGTCACTCTATCCACTTCACCATACCAGTTCCTTTTACTTAGAAGCCCTCTTTATGCCTCATCAGGTCAGTACTGACTTATACAAACCTAGCAGAACTTTAAAGGTGATATATTTAAGCAGTAGTTTTACCAGTGAGTTTCCATAGCTGAGACTGCCCTGTGTATTTCATGGTTACATCTGTGGGCATTACTTAGAGAGGTGTATAGTTTACATGTTAGGCATGTTAGGCATGCTTTAATTAATGAAGCCCTTACTTGGAGAGTATAAGATGTTGTGAAGAAACTGAGGAAATGGGGAGCATGGGGAATAGAATTCATCTACTAGGAACTTCAAGGCTTATTCATGAGTGCTTGGGAAGCATCTGAGAAGGCAGAGTTCAGTATTGACTATGAACAAAGGGACAAATCGGACCTTCAATTGACTTCCTATTAAAGACTTCAAAGGGCACTTCCAAGCAGCACCAAATGGAGTCTAACACCTCCATGCTTATCTCTTTATCAGATGTAACATCAAATGCCTGTCTGCTTCCTTCCACTGAGTCATGCAAATTAAAGCAGTAGGGAGGAAGAAGGTGAGGAAGGTGCTTTTATTTTGGGTACACATGAAAGTGGATGAAGATGTTGATTAGGACAGGTCTGGAATTGGTTATTTAATATTGAACAGGGTTTAGGAAAGGTGGTTAGACGGTTCAGTGTTGCTCTGATGGAGGAAACTGTGCCCATTTGCTGTCCTACAGGAAGAATGCACTCTTATTATAAACCTTTTCGTAACTTTAATTTTTTTTTGCCTTTTACCCTTTCAATATTGGCATGAGTGTGGAGACAGCTCCACCCTTGCAAGGGAAGCACTCTGCTTCCCAGTCCCTAGGCTTGTGGATTTTATTTTGAACTCCCTGGAAGCACTGCTGAGTCCAAGTGGACAGAAATATGTGGGACTGATCCTGTTCCAGTCAGGCTCCATACACTCCTCTCTAGCTAGTTCTTCCCTGGGCTCACCCACCTCAGGACAAGAAGAGTAGTATTATTTAGGGGCTATAGGGTGCAGTCCTTGACCAGCAACTATAAAAGATATATAAACTGGACTTTTATACTGTGCTGCAGCTTCTTGTTCTTATTTCTGAGTAGACATGCAGAGTACATTTGGAGAATGTTTTAGGGTGGACATGCAAAGGAGACTGCTTTTCCATAGACATCAGAAGTAGTCTCGCTGAGTAATAAAGTCCAAAATCCATATTAAGGTGAAACCTTTATTAAGCCAACAAATTAATAATACTTGTATGCCATCAACTCAGTTCTGACTTAGTGCAACATTTCCCAGGGTTTTATTTATTTATTTATTTATACCCCGCCCGCCTATCTGGACTACGAGTCCAGGGCAACATTTCCCAGGGTTTTATTTATTTACGTATTTATTTATACCCCGCCTATCTGGACTACGAGTCCAGTCTAGGCGGCTAGAATAGAGGTAGAGTACTCAGAAGTGGTTTTCCATTTCCTCCTTCTGGGGATGCCTTGGGACTGGGCAGCTTGCCCAAGGCCAACCCAGGCTAGTTCTTCTCCCAGGCGACACAGTGGGGGAGTCAAATTCCCAACCGCAGGCTCTGCAGGTACCTAAACCACTGAGCTATTCAGCCAGCTTATTAAACCAACACGTTCTTGTGCGCGCACAACACACACACACACACACACACACAGTTCTTGTGCGCGCACACACACACCCTCTTTTCTGGTTTCCATCCTACCCATTTCATCCAACAAATGGGGCGGAACGGTGTACCAACTTCATAGATCATCAACCCCCTTCTTCGGGCATCGCATTACAGAAAGGAACGGGATGCAGAGAAGGCAGGAAGCCAGATTCGTTTTTATTCCCCCGTCCCGTCGTAGGCACGGATTCTGTCTGAAAATCCCATCGGCTTGCGGCTCACAAGGGATGCGATGAGGGCGACCCACCCATCCCACGCACCCCTCGGCTCAGGCGACGGACCGCCCCGGCTGCCACCCTGTTGCGAGCCAGGCTGTCGGGAGGGCAAGGCTTCCTTCATTTGGTCGCCGCTCCTAACCGTCAGGATCGGTATTTTTCTCCCCTTCCCCCCCTCCCGCTTTTGCACTCATGATCTTAGAATCCCTTGATTCTCCGCGCAAGGCGAGCTCATTGCTGGAACCAGGGGGAAAAAAAAAGAGGGCTTTTGTCTGCCCGGGCGAGCGCCGCTCCTCCTCTCTCCCGCCGCCTCCGGGCTTGGCAAGGGATGGAGGACGTTAAAGTTCGCCGGCTTCGCTTG